CGGTGGGTTTATTGCTCCGAGCCGAGGAGCTGATACTGAAGAAGCCGCGGAGCGAACTCGTGTTTGAGGGGCAGAGACACCGACACGGAGCCTGGACGGGTGAGCACAGTGGCCTTGGCTGGCCATCGAAGGCTCCTGCAGCGGGGGGAGGCTCCTAATGGCCACTCCCGGTGCTGCCATCCCTCCTGCCTCCCCAGCTGCGCTCTGCCAGAGCCTGGGCGCTGCCGCCCCCGAGATCCGCTGCTGCGTGGATGCTGTGAACTTCGTGGCCGAGGGCACGCGAGATCAGGAGGCGACTGGCGAGGTGGGGTGCTGCAGTCCCCCCACGTCTCGCGTGCCCGTGGGTTTTGCAGCTGTCCCTTGACGGACACAGCTTCTGCCCCCCTTTCCCAGGAGGTGTCTGACTGGGTGCGCATGGGGAAGGCCCTTGACAACATCTGCTTCTGGGCTGCCCTGGTACTCTTCAGCGCCGGCTCCAGTGTCATCTTCCTCGGGGGCTACTTCAACCAAGTACCCGACCTCCCCTACCCACCCTGTATCCAAGCCTGAGCCTGTGCCCACGCTCACTTCCACTTCTCCAGCCATCTCCAGTAGGAAAGAGATTTAAAAAAACAAACGGCTGGGCCAGCAGATGGCTTAGCGGTTACCATAGGGGACTCCCACATGGCCTGTGGTTCAAGTTCTGAACCTGGTGGCTTGAAACTCACAGGGGCGGGGAGCACATGTGTGTGTGCGCGTGTGTCCAAGATCCCAGGAGAATGGAGAAGAGATTGTGGTGTGGCCATCCCCCGGGGGCTGTGTGTCACTTTCCCTCAATCAGTCTAAAATAAAAGCTGCTGCCACCACGGTACTGCGATCCTTTCCTGCTGCGGATAATCTGTATTTTGTGAAAAAGCCCCAAACTGTGTGTGCCTGTGAGTAGGTCTGGCCCTGGCCCAGGGGTGTGCAGCAATAGAGGGGGAGGTTTCCAGCAGCTCTTGGGTGCCAGTCCTCAAAAAAGCAAAGACGTCCCTTAATTCAGCCTTGCTGAGCTCTCAGGCCCAGCACCTGCGCTGTCAGACTGAGCTTCTAGGATAGCTTTCTCCATCCGACAGCCACTCAGGAGAGGAGCCCTTGCAGGACTGGCACACAGGGAAGCTGGAGCGGGAAAGCCTTGTCCTCTGGCCTGGCCCTGCTGGAGTGGGTGGGGACAAAGTACCCTCAGGGCAGGTGCCCACAGGTTGAGGGGGAGGACGCCTTGGCGCCCCCTCTGTCCCTTCACCCAGCACTGTCCACCCCGCTGGCCTCCCCTAAGACTCATCCGCTGCAGAGTCCATCCCACTCTGCCCCCTTGATCCTCTGCAGGCTCTCTGGCTAGTACCCAGCATTGTGAGAAAACGGAATGCAATGGGGCCTGAGGCGGTGGAAGCTGGTTGAATTGTCTTTATTAACAAACGGGATTATCCAAGGCCACTACATTGAGGAGGGAGAAGGGCTACTTGCTGCTCACACTATATACAGATGCAAGCAAGAGGGTGTGGAGGGTGAGAGCACCCTGCTCCCTCCCCACCAGGGAAGGGTAGAGGCTAGAAGAGATGGGGGTTGGAAAGGGGGAATGTTTTGGCTGGCGGGGGTCCCCCTCCATTCCCTGGGGTTTGGGGGAAGGGGAATCATTAAAGTGCTTTCAGAAAATGAGGAAATGGTCCCTGCCCCTGGAGTGGCTGGTGACCCCCCTAAAACCTAGGGCCCAGTGACCCCCCCCAGAGTCTGGTACATTCAAGGGGGGAGCCGGCTCCCCTGACGTGCAAATAAAGGGGTCCAGGGCCCTGCCCAGTCAGCAGCAGTGGGGTAAGGGGTCCGAGCCCCAAGCACTCTCCTCTTAAGTGGAGAAAAGGGGGGAAGGGCTGGGCCCACTCAATTCCTGGAAAGGGGAAGCTGTGTCCCTCCCCAGAAGTTGGGGACAGGCACAGTTTTGAGGGGAGAACATGTTGGGAAAGGGGATGATCACATGATCACAAAAGCATCAGGGGTCAGAGGTCACGTTCCCAGCAGGCTCCAGTGAATCAAACCAGTAAAAGCAAAAGCCCAGGGAGGGAAAAGAGGGGCGGCCTGGGAAGTGTCTGTGGGGGGCGAGCTGGGTCCAGTATGGGACAGCCCCAGCCCAGGGCCCCGTCACCAGTTCATGATGCAGTTACGGTTCAGAGTCATGAAGTAAACTTGGCTGCTGCCCCCGGAGCGGACTGAGGCAAAAAACACCTGGGTGAGGGAGGAGGAGAAGTCACCGAGGGT